AGGTGACCCAATATCCAAATAACAGCTCACAAAAAAAAAAAAAAAAAAAAAAAGGAAAGCATCAATGAACTCATTTGAGGAAATCTCCCAGAACTAAGTGACATGAATTTCCAGGTTGAAAGAGTCCATCAAATATCTAACACCATGAATGAACATAGACCCACACTAAGCCTGCCATCATAACATTTCAGAACACTTGGAACGAGATGCTACTACAGGCTTTTGAAGGATCACGAAGCAGAATGACTTAATGCTTAATAATACTTAATCTGTTGACTAGAAGCCAACAGATAAATTCCTTCAGACCTCTGGGGAAGAAATAGCTTTCTTTCTTTCTTTCTTTCTTTCTTTCTTTCTTTCTTTCTTTCTTTCTTTCTTTCTTTCTTTCTTTCTTTCTTTCTTTCTTTTTTTGTCTCACTCTGTTGCCCAGGCTGGAGTGCAGTGGCCACTCCCGGGCACTGCAGCCTCAACCTGCTGGGCTCTGGCGATCCTTCCGCCTCAGCCTTCCAAGTAGCTGGAACTACAGGCGCACGCTACCACGCCCAGCTAATTTTTTGATTTATTGTAGAAACGAGGTCTCACCATGTTGCCCAGGTTGGTCTCGAACCCACAGGCTCAGGCAGTCCTCTTGCCTAAGCCTCCCAAAGTGCTAGGATTGCAGGTATGAGCCACTACACACGGCCAGAAGAAAGATCTTAACCTGAACGTCTATAACCATCAGTTCCAGTTTATTTATTGTTGTGTAATAAACTACTCCAAACCTTAATGGCTTAAAGCAACAGCCATTTGTATTATGCCTCACAATCTGGGGCATCGGGAATTCAGAGTTTGACAGGCCAATTTTTCTTCTCTATATGGCACTGACTATGGTTACTTGATAGTACTTACCAAATGGCTGAACTGAGCTGAAGGATCTAAGATGGCTTCCCTCACATGACTGGTGCCTGGTTGGGGACAGCAAGAAGGCTGGGTTCAGCTGGGTCCCTCTTCCTTTCTATGTAGGGCCATTTTTTAAATAGACTTTTTTTAAATAGTAGTTTTAGGCTTACAACAGAATTGAGCAGAAAGTGAAGAGTTCCCATATACCTCCTTACTTCCGCCCCAATTTCCCCTATTATTAACATCTTAGCTTACTACAATATATTTGTTACAAATGAAGAGCTAATGCCGATACATTGTTAAAGTTCATAGTTTACATTATGGTTCACACTTTGTGTTGTACATTCCATGGGTCTGAGAATTGCATAATGACATATAACCACCCTTATAGCATCCTACAGATTAGATTAGGACTGCCCTAAAAATCAACTGTGCTCCACCTATTTATCCTTCCTTTCTTCCCCCCACCCCTCTCCCACCCCCAGTCCCTGGTAACCACCGATCTTCTTACAGTCTCCATAGTTTTGCCTTTTCCGGAATGTCATATAGTTGAAATCATACAATATGTAGCCTTTTCAGATTACCTTCTTTCACTTAACAATATGTATTTAAGGTTCTTTCCTTTCTTTTCCTGGCTTGATACCTCATTTCCCTTATCACTAAGTATTGCTTTGGGTAGATGTACCACAGTTTGTTTATCCATTTATCTATTGAAGTACATCTTGGTGACTTCCATTGTAGGGTCCTCTTACATAGTATCTCCAGTAGAGTAGTCAGACTTCTTATATGGTGGCTCGGGGCTCCAAGAGACAAAAGTTGCCAGGTATTTTAAAAGTCCGTCTCAGAATTGACATAGTGCCGCTTCTGCCATGCTCTATTGGTCAAAGAAGTCACAGGCCAGCCCAGATTCAAGAGTAGAGGTGCCATCTTTAATCTGACACATCAATCAGAGAGAATCCAACTCCAATGGTCCTGGAGGCACATTTCCTTTACCCTCTGAGTAGCTTAGCAAGAAGTTGATTTACCATATTTGGGGCTCCCCCTTTCTAACAAAGCAATTATTTATATAAGAAATCTATTATTACTGTTATTATTATTTCGTAGTGACTTAGAAACACCACAACCCCCTGTCCAATAATATGTAAAACACTAAGGAGCAGGGTTCATGTCCCAGACTGGATACCTTCCTATGAGATAATAAGAGCTCAGGGATCATGTGAACTCTGCTGACTCCCTACTTCAAGTTTTTCTCCAATAAGTTCTGTTAAACCTATTTATATTTATACTTATGGAACAAGCTGTGTTTCAAGTCAAAAAATAAAAACATTTTCAGATATACAAGGGCTAAGAAAATAATAATAATGCTACTTCCCACATAATCTTCAAAGTTATATAAAAGAATTCTCACATGGGGACCAAAGTGAGGCCCAAATTTTACCTACACAATGACCATTTGTATACCCAACCCTGAATAGTACCCCACAGCTTTAAAATAAAAAATAAAAAAATCCTCCCTCAAAAATAAGAAAATTGTATCCTTTCAGGAAATAGGAGATCTAACAACCCAGGAAAAAGTGAAGAGAATCCCCAGAATGATAGAGAGGACAGCTTCCAGGATATTCACTGTACACCTGAATGAGATTAACACAGGACAAGGGGCTTCAGGAGACGTTTCTACTAGAAAATTAAATTAATAAACTATTTGACATATTGGAGCGTATTGAAAGGAGCTCAAACAACTGGAGACTTGTTAGGAAATTGATTATAAATACTTAGAAAATTAAGCAAAGAAACAAAGGGGAGCTATTTACTCCTAGAAAATAAAAAAGTTATGAAGGAAAGAAAGATAACTCATCGATCAGTTGTAAATAGCTAAATTCACCTCTTCCGGGGTAGGAAGTGGATAGATAATGTCATGAACTAAAAATCAAGAGGCAACTTAAAAATATGTTGCTTATTGATAAGGAGAAAAATACACAAGGACTTAGCCAATTAAGGTTGAATGAAATTAGTTGCCTCTGGGAACAGAGAAATGGGGAATGGAGGGAAGTGTGGGATTGCTGTTTATCATTACAAATCTTATCTATATAATGATTTGGTTCACTGCCTTGAGTCTTTGTAAAATTCTCCCTTTCAATTTTACTTCCTCTGGTCACTCAAATCCTTGTCTCCTTTCTTCCTTTTTATCATAGAATTTACCACCTTCTGGCATACTCCGACATTTGCTTATTTATGATGTTTATTGTTTTTTATCTGTCTTTTTCTGCTAGAATGTCAACAGCACAGAGGTAGGGATCTTGTTTTTTCATTTGCCAATATAACCCAAGTGCCAAGAATAGTACTTGGAACATTGTAGGTGCTCAGTAAACATCTACTGAGTAAATGAATTTAATTTTTAAACTATGTGCATAGATAACGTAGATTTTTTTAAAGAAATACAGCATTCACCTTAAATTCTACCACAAAGCAAAAATCTTCTACTTAAAATAATGCTCAGAAAACTTGGTCTTCTATTAAGAAACATTATCATTAGTTTTCTCAGATTTCAAAAAAGAATACTATTTTCAATGCATCCCAAACGCCCAAACATAATACATGCTTACCTTTGTGAAGCACTGAAACGGTTGCCAAGCACTTGTAATAACAATGAGTAAGATTTACATAACACTTAAAAATAAATGGTGATTGTATAAAGGGTTGTAAGATATGAACTTATAAGGAAAAGAAGTTAAAATACATTTGAAGAGTAATCAAATATTTTTCAGTTAAATTATTATTTGTTAGTTTATACATGGTCTTATTTCAAGGATTTTAGGAAACCTATGAAAGTGTAGAGACCATAACATTAAATTACATTTAAATTAAACTAAATTTACTTAAATTAATTAAGCTGATTACATTTTAATTAAGCAAAAGAAAATGGAAAATCAAAGATAGGACAAAGGGTAGCCAAGAAAATGATTTTAAATATGTATAATTATAGCCTGATTCAAATTTGCCTGTAAGCTCTGTGTCTATTAGTATTAGATTCAGCTACAAGTAACAGAAACTCAACATATGGTAGGTTTAAATATGACAATAGATGAATTCATTTTTCTCACATACAAAATTTCAGAGACGTGAAGTCTAGGACTAGTATGGAACTCAACTCAAGCTAGTCCCCAGGAATACAGGCTCCTTCCAACTCACCCCTCCTAATGTGGGCCTTATTTCCATAGTCTACAATGCCAGCATTCCTATTCTGGGCAGCAGAATGGAAAAAAGTAGAAGAATCAAGTCACGTTCCAATTGTTTCCTAAGAAACATTACAATAAATTGCTACGGATACTTCTAATTCCATCTCATCACCCAGAACTTAGTGACATGCCACTCCTAGCTACAAGAGAAACTGGGAAATACAGTCATCATTCTGGGTAGACATGGGTCCTGCTAAAATACTCTAACACATGAAGGGGAGAATAGATCTGAGGGACAATGAGTGTGTCAGCCTCAGCTTCATAGCCACCAAAAGAAGAAAGGGAACATGGTCAGGCACAAAATAATCGAGTTGGTAAAGATGAGCAATTGCTCAAGATGTGTCCAGCAGCTCTTGGTACAAAGATCAAAAGGGGATGACTCCGGAGGTCTTTGCACAAAAGAAAAAGTTTGAGAACTTCCACAATACCCTTATCACATTGATGTAACTCATTTCATAGAACAGCTTCTTATAACAACTCCCTTGCCTAAGCCTACAGGTTCGAGACCAGCCTGGGCAGCATGGTGAGATCTCTCTACCATAAATCAAAACATTAGCTGGGTGTGGTAGTCCACACCTGTAGTTCTGGCTACTTGGAAGGATTGCCTGAGCCCAGCAGGTTGACCTAGGGTGGCCATGAGTGTGTGTGCCACTGCACTCCAGCCTGGGCAACAGAGTGAGACTCCAACTCAAAAAACAAAAAAACAAAACAACTCCCAGTAGTAGAGTCACAGTTTAGAGAAAACTTGTCAGCAGAGATTTGATTTTCTGACTTCATTTAAACCATATTTTTAAAAATCATGATAAAAGCATATTTTTTTGTGCTTCATCATGTGAGTATCCTGGCTTTATATAATATATACATATACATATTTTTTTGTTTCAGAATTAAAGAAAAATCTATTTACCTGCGTTTACAGAAAAGAAACCACTGCAATCACAGGGACTACCAGAGTATTTCAAGAAATGGTAGGTAGCTTTCTATTTAAGTCTTCACCAGTGTGTAACAACTGATTTTATTCCACTAATACCTCAAAGGCTGAGAATTAGATAACAAAAACCACGGAATAAAATGAACAGTCTTCCTTCCAACACCACTGCCATTTCTGAGAGACATGTTCTGTGCTTAGAGTCATTTTCCCACAACCAAAAAGAACAAAAACAAGATGCAGTCCAAGGGTACTCCAGGGGGTGTAGGTCGGTCACCCAACAACAAAGTTCTAGAAAGGCCAAGGTGCAGAATGTTTGAAGTTCAGGAAATAAGACCTAAATGAGTATTAGCAGAGTGAGAGCTGAACAAAATCAAGGTTATTGCCAAAGCTATGCCCACCTTGATGGTGCAGAGTCTCCCACGTTTTTGCAGGGGTTGGAGTTTTAAGTTTTACCTGTGTGTGTTTCAACCTTTCATGTTGGGCCCAGAGATAGTCTATTGCCTCAAAATTTTGATGAAATTCCTGATTGATAAGCCATAGACTGGCTAATACCTAATGAAATATCAAGTAAAGTTTTATGACACCATAATGCAGAGATGGCAAACAGTTTGTGTTTTGAAGTCACTCCATATTCCTAAACCTGGGGAAGAGATCACTTATCAACCTTGGCACCGTTGTCTGCTACACTCAGATTCTGCCTCAGCAGTTCTCGAAACACAGCTTGTCTGACAATCATCATCAGCAAATTAGACTTGGCACATGAAGTTAAGCCTATTTGCCGTCCCTGTGCCATCTCTAATTAACAAAAGATGTTGAGGAATCTTCCAAGCAGCACGAACTTTAACTAAATATGTGACCTACAAATAATGCATTTCTTATAGTAAATATACTACACAGAATAAATATTCTACTCTTTGAAGAAGAATATAGACTTTTTACTAATAAAATAATAACTGTGATTTATTGAGTTCTTACCAAGGACTAAGAACACTTTATGTATATTCCTGTTAATCTTTTCAACAACAGACACAGTAAGGCAAGCATTATTAAATTTCATTACTGCTAAGATGCCATTGATTGTAATAGCTCTGGGAGTGTTGGGGGAGGAAAAAGAAAGGAAAAATTACAATGTGCCCATCAATCTCAGCACTCAACCCACTACCAAAAGTGTTAAGATATATTTCTCAGAATTGAGGCATTATAATAATGTCCACACTAGTACAGCTGAGGAAATAGAAGCAGACAGCCTTATCCCCAGTCACAAAGATAGTAAGTTACAGAGCTGGAACAGCTATCCAGTTGTTTCACTGTACTCAGATACTGACAGAGATGACACAGTTGTTTGTCTATCGACCAAAATAGTCTACAGAAAGAGGCCAGCCAGCTAGGTATGGTAGTTCATGCCTGTAATCCCAGCACTTTGGGAGGCAGAGGTGAGAGGATTGTCTGAGCTCAGCGGTTTGAGACCAGCCTGAGCAACATAGTGAGACCTTGTCCCTACAATAAATAAATAAATAGCCGGGTTCGGTGGCTCACCCTGTAATCCCGCGCCTTTGGGAGGCTGAGGTGAGTGGATTGCCTGAGCCCGTGGGTTTGAGACCCGCCTGGGCAGCGAGATCTCATCTCTACAATAAATCAAAAAATCAGCCGGGCGTGGTAGCACACGACTGTAATTCCGGGTGCTTGGAAGGCTGAGGTGGAAGGATCGCCGGAGCCCAGCAGGTCGAGGCTGCAGTGACTGGGAGCAGCCACTGCACTCCAGTCTGGGCGACAGAGTGAGACTCCAACTCAAAAAAATAAAAAAAGAAAAAGAAAAAATAAAATAAAATAAAATAAAATAAAATAAATAAATAAATGAAAAACTAGCTGGGCATAGTGGTGCATGCCTGTGGTTCCTGCTACTTGGAAGGCTGAGGTGGAAGGATTGCCTGAGCCCAGCAGGTTAAGGCTGTGGTGGCTTTGAGCGTGCTACTACACTCCAGCCTGGGCAACAGAGTGAGACTCATTGCAAACACAAAGCAAACATCAGTCCTCTGGCGGCACTTTCTCTTTTCTTTAGTGAGATACTCAAATGCCCTCACTACTGTCAAACAACCTCTGTTGATGCAGACTGTAAAACCAACAAACAAACAAATATAAAAACTCATCTGTGTAGAATATTATGCAGCTATAGAAAATCATGACTAAAAGTCAAATATATTTTTATTTGGAAAGACAAAACACTGCCAAAAGAAAAATCAGGATATAAAATTGAATCATACAGTTGAAATTCTACTATATATTTTAAAGAAAAAAAAAGGCAGCTATATATTAGAAAGGTAAGTAGAAAATATAACAAAATCATTATGTTTGGTAAATTATGAGTGATTCCTTTTTTTCTACTTTTCTATTTTCCAAATATTTTATTTTTATTTACAAATAACCTTTTAAAAAAAAAAGGTAGTGCAGTGGCTCACACCTGTAATCCCAGCACTCTGGGAAGCTGAGGTGAGAGGATTGCTTGAACCCAGGAGTTACAGACCAGCCTGGGTAACATAGCAAGACCTCGTCTTTACAAAAAAATCAAAAATCAAAAATAATTAGCTGGTCATGGTGGTGCATGTCTGTAGTCCCAGCTCCTCAGGAGTCTGAAGCAGAAGGTTCACCTGAGTCCAAGCAGTGGAGGCTGTGGTGAGCTATGGTTGCACCACTGCACTCCAACCTGAGTGACAGAATGAGACTCCAACTCAAAAAAAAAAAAATCCCTAGACAGAAACCAAGTCTAGAAATCACAGTAAAGGGTTTGCCCAAAGTTCCATGGCCAAATGTACCAGGTTAGGGCAGGATCATGAGAATAGCATTCTGCCAGAAATGCAGACTATAAACTGTTCTCTGTTAATGGGGCTCCAATTGAGCCTTTCTCTTTCACAAGACCCAGACATGCCAATTCAACATCATTTTGATACCTACAAGAAATGCAGCAATCTTTTATACAATCATAAAGACAAGATTAAAATACTCCAAAAAGTACCTAGGACACTTGATAGTAGGTGGTTGTCTTTTTGTGAACTGCTGTCTTGACAACATTCCTTTAAAATTTAGATTGTAGAAACAAAAGGGGGGAGGGAGACAGAAGGAAAGCCTAATCATGAAAAAAACATGTGTGTCAAAATTTGATTGAAATCTGTGGCTTCTGTAAGCCTTTGTCTAATGAATAGATGCCAGGGAAGGAGGAGGCAGTGCCTTCCTTTTTTTGAATTTGCAGACCTTAGAAATGTATAAAACATATATTTTTTTCTAGTATTGCTTCTTTGAAGATGTTTCTTGAATGCAATTCTAGAAGAATATTTTTTTAGTCTTTCAGTTACTCATTATTTAATGTTCTGGTCTTAGTCCCCAGCCCCTCTTCCTATTTTCTGTTGCATTTCCTTGCGATGGATTTTCTTTTGATATTATGCGGCATGTAACCTGACTACCCACGCCAAGTTATTTCAATTACTCCCTAAGGTTTTTATTAGACATAGGAAAAGTCAGCTTTCACATTCTGCATATTTATGGGACTACACTTATTTTTCAGAACCAGCAAGGGAGAAAGAGGAAAAAAAGGGAAAAAGAGTTGAATGGAATATTAAAGTGTTTTTAAAAAATTGTATGGTAGGAATTAAAGAAACAGCTCTTGTTTTCATCTTGATCCTTATGTAAGAGATCTCAAAAACTTTGTATACATATCTTTATCAAGAAGCGCTGTCAGTAATTATAATGTGCTTTAAAATGAAAAATGGATAAGTCATCTTTAATTCAAGAAATACTTCTCCAGTGGGAGGGTTAGAAACAGCCAGGTGTCTGCCCAGTCTTCTTACAATCAGCTAAGGAGAAGGCTTGCAGTGGCTTTGAGAGCTTCCAGCATGTCAGAGCAGCCCAGGGTGGGAGGCAGGCAAACCCTGAAGGGGAGCGTGCTGAAACACTGTGGAGTTGGCGGGCTCCTCACAGCACGTCACGTGAACTCTCGGAGATGGAAAGTGAGGCCCAGAGAGGGCCTCCCCTCCTTGATGCCTCATGAAATCTTCCTCTTTCCTTGGTGGCTAAAGTGATTGGTCTTGAATTTTAGCCCTGGAATTGGTGTGTGACCTTGGGCCAATCATTTCATCCCTTTTGCCTATTTCTGCATCTACAAAATTAGGGTCATGGTTCAAGGAGCACAATTGCCAGGGTGACCCAGATCTCATTCTCGGCTGCCCAAACAGGCCAGCTTGAGTGGTCATCTTTACCTTGTCTTCCTGGGGAAGAGTCTGCAGTTAAGTGAGATGAGGTTGTGCAGAGAGTAGCTGCCTTCTCATCCTTTGCAAACCCAGTTTTGCTCCACTGAAGCCAGTTCCTTAAACCATGCCACATGACATTGTAGAATTCATCACAAAACCTGGCACGTGATTGATCCAGATGGGGCCCACCTTGTACAACAGGGATGGTAATAGCACATGCCTGAACTTCACAGGGATGCTGAAGTTTGAATGAAAAGATACAAGGCTTCCTCAATGTCTATCATTGGGCATCACTGAGACAATATTTGCTAACTCTGCCTACCACCTCTATTATTATTCACTCAAGATTTTAAAAAATCGGTCACTTTTTCAATATCAAGAGGTGTTTTTGTTGTTATTAGCAATAGCTTTGTTTTTAATTGCTACCTAATAGATGTACATATCTTTGAAGTACCCATGATAATTTGATACATTCATATAATCAAATCAGAGTCATTAGGATACCCATCACCTTAAATATTTATCTTTTTCTTATGCTAGGAACACTCCAGTTATTCTCTTCTATCTATTTTGAAATGTACAAAATCTATTTTGAAATGTTAATGATAGATACCCTGATCTATAGAACACCAGGTCATATTTCTTCTAACTCTATATTTGTACCCATTGATCAATGTCAAAAGTTTTTAAACGAAGAAAATGATTTGAATGAATAGAAATAAATGTAGAAGTGCCATGTCAATGATAGGAAGACTGCAGCTCCCAGAGTCAGAGGGCAGGAGAAGGGCACCTGGCATTC